TTTTTTTTCTGTTTCAGGTGCTTGTGGCTGATATCAATATTGGGTATGAAGAAATAGTAAATACTCAGGTAAACAGAAAAAAACAACCAAGGAATAATTACAAATGATTATAATCATAATTTTCATATATTGTTATTGTCTTTCTCACTGTTTGTTTTTTTATGTAGGTTGTTGCTTTTAACAACAAGCCAGTGAGGAATCTGAAGAGCTTGGCAGATATGGTGGAAAGTTGTAATGAAGAATTCCTCAAGTTTGACCTCGAATATGATCAGGTTAGTGGGGATGCCTTGGATTACAGGGACTAAAACTGTAACTGATGTAAATTATAAGTTACAGGGATCGAAACTGTAATTATTGAAATTAAAAACTATAGGGAACAATATGTGGTTATTGAAAATTTGAAATTAAATACTGTAGGGGCCAAAACTGTAATTAGTACAAATTCAAAACTACAGGGACTAAAACTATAATTATCTTAAATTAACAACTACAGGGACCAAAACTGTAACTAATGCAAATTATAAACTACAGTCTACATAGACCGAAACCGTGATTATTGAAATTAAAAACTACAGAGCCCAAATCTGTAGTTATTGAAATTAAAAACTATAGGGACCAAAACTGTAATTAATACATATTAAAAACAATAGAGTCTACATGTATAATTATTTTAAATTAAAAACTACAGGGACTAAACATGGAATTATTCTATTAATACTGAGGCCATGAAGTTCAATAAAAAATAAATTGTATGAAAGAAGCAAAACCAATAAGCAAACATGCATATTGTTTGGTAGTGTTTGAGTGCTTCCTTATTAGGGGAGTCTTTGTCTTTGTCTTTACTCTTTACTAATTGTATATACTTGCCTACTTGGTAATGTTTGAATGCTGATTTGGCATTTGTATTGCCATGTCATCATTGCTAGATGCCACGTAAGAAAAAAATGCAGACAATATTACTAAAGCATTATTTATGACTTTTGTGTAGATTGTGGTGTTACGGACGAAGATGGCAAAGGAGGCAACTCGAGACATTCTGTTAACACACTGTATACCTTCAGCTATTTCCAATGATCTAACTTAGACCCTTTTACTTTCAACATATAACATGTTTGACCCTTGTCTTACATAAATTCGTAAAAAGCTTTGACTTTGATTATGTAATGCGGCTGCTCTTACCATGGTGTTTTGTGCTTTTAACTTTTATAAAAAGTGAATTTTATGAGTAAAATTTTTTTGACTTTGTTGTTTGATTTCCCAAATTGAAAAACAGGCATGTTAAGAAATGTAAATCTATTGATATAAGTGATACGTGGTTACTATTTAGTGATATTGATATTTAAGAGAATTCATGTTTGTGGTAGAAAGAAAATTGTTAGACCAACTATGAAGGCAGCTTCAAAAATCAAAACCAGATTAATCATATAATCACTTTAAATAAAATGAGATTTACCATATAATATCAAACCCTTTTTACCACAACTAAAGGTTTTATTTTTGTAAACCAAAAACCATAAAGAAGCCTCGCCAAATTTGCTATCAATTAGGCTTTGTTTGCCTGACTAGACTAGAGATGATAAACTTGCTGAAAACTAAAGAGCTAACTGCTTGATAATAATTTATTATGGGTAGAAATTTACTACCAGGTTAAAATGAATATAAAAAGAGTTCAATATCATAAAATGAGTATGCAACAAGTTTCAATAAGCTAAAGCAAAAATCTTATAAACTATATTTTTTATGGGTTGTGCTATAACTCCTCCTAACCAAATTTAACTTCCCTAAACTCAGTCTAATCAGTTTTTTGACATATGATTTGACATCATTAGATTATATAATAATAATAATAATAAGATAAAAATATAAAAAAAAAGAATTAAAAACCGATTTTAAATAGCCGTTCGAATTTATAATGTTGTTCGAAATTTATAATAATAATATTAAAATATAAAATAAAAAATAATTAAAAACCGATTTTTTATAGCCGTTCGAATTTTACAACGTCGTCTGAGTTTATAATGTCGTTGGAATTATAAAATTTTGTTCGAAATTTATAGTAATAATAATAATAATAATATAAATTAAAAAGGAATAAAAAACAATAAAAAAACAAAATAGGAAAATAACAAAAGACAAAAAATCAAATCAGGGTAAAGTTGAAGAGGGAGGAGGAATATTTACGGAGAACATTTGTTTATTGTAAAAAAAAAAATCAAATGGTACTTTCAATATAAATTGTTATATTAAATTCAAAAAGAAAAAAAAAAGCAATTCTGAAAATTAAACCCCATTCATTAAACTCAACCTACAATACTAACTTTATTCCCATTCAGCCACATCATCATTTTTGGCTCATTAAACCCTTCATGAAACCACCGGCCTAAATACATCCAAATTAGTATATTGGTCTCATTCACTATTAAAATCTAATGCAATTATATCAAAGGATAATTTTAATGATTAAAAAAAGGGCATATACTTTAAAAGAAACATATATATTTGTTCAAAAATGAGTTCTAATCGCTTTAAAAGGAACAGAACAATAAGAAAGGAAAGAAAAACCTACACTTACCAAAATATAAATTGCAAAATAGTGAAAATACAAAAGCTCAAACGCCCAGTTCCTTCGCAGCGCACGTCTCATCAACTTCCTTCACAGCGCACGCCTTATCAAGTTGAACAAAGTATTCACTATTCAGGATTCTCTGCTGGCCTGAACATGAAGAACATCACAATATACAACACAAGAGTGATTATTTCCTCCGCCGCATTAGACTCCCAGTGGTAACTGTAACATATAGTGTTCAAATCTCCCAATATTTGATTAATGAACAAGCATACGCCAACCACAACAGAAAAACAAGAACATAGAGCAAACTTCTCCCAATAATTCCTAGTAGCCTTTTCAGTCTCATAAGTGTCGCACACCACGCAAAGCGATAAACATATGGGCATGATTTTAACAACGTATAACACACTCTCTACTACCACCAGTAACGCCCCAAATTTCGAAAACAGAAGGTGACTTTGGCAGCGGGTTACCCCTGTCACTTTAGAAAGTATAGTAGCCAAACCCTCAAGTGGGATCACAATCATTAAAACTATCTTTGACTTCGGCTTCAAGAAAGCCAATCCATCCAAGATCACAAGGATCACAGTGTACAAAAAAGCAGGGGTGAGAAACTGACATATGTAAAATAAGATATCCCATTCATATGAACGAGTACCTGTAACCTTCACAGATTCTTGGACCTCCGCTGCACAGATCAAGTTCATCTCTTTCACAGCAAGCAATACAACCATTAAAAAATGAACCATGTGAAAAGATTTATGGTTCAAACAGCATACAATGATCCATAACCATAGAAAACACCCATAAATGATTGAGAAAGTGTAGTAAAGACCGGGGAGCTTTGTTATCCCGGCTGATAAATAATAGCTGTTTACCCGCGTCAAGCGACGGGTGCGGATAATTTCTTTCGGTAGATAGTTTCTTCTCGGGACGAAAGTCATTTGGACCATATATTTAACAAAAAGAGGTTCAGGGCAAAATCCAAAAATCTGGGAAAACATAGGGACCATTTATGTAATTTTGTCTGGATTTTCAATAACAACTTTGTGTTTTCAATTATCAGATTATAATAATTAAAAATAGACAAACTTAAAAGAGTTTACATGTAATTACAAATGGTTGACTGTACAATATTAATGCGTAACATTTCTTTATACACGACATTTTGGATATAAATTTTATCATCGTTGAACATATATACCTAAATTCCAAATTTTTTGTCCCTAAGCTATATTGATTGTTATCGTAAAACTAATAAATTGTTTTCTTTGAAGATTAAATGGAAACATATCATCTTTAGACAGATATAGAAGAATCCATGAAAAAAAATACATGGGCAATAGTTTCTTTTACATATAGGGTGTCATGTTTCATAAAACCAAGATCACCAATAAAAGTAACTCACCCATTGGTATCTAACATCCAAATAAAATGCATCCCATGCCTAAATATAACACCAATCCAGTTTAAACTAAATGTTGTTGATTCACTAAAAATATAAAGAAACTTTAATAAGATTTTTTTTATATTAAATGGAAACTTTACTTAAAATATGAACTAATGCAAATAACAATCGTAAATCTTAATTTGTTTCCCTTTTTAATTAAAAATTTTATTATATGATGACACTCGCTCAAACTTTTTTCTTTCAAGTGCATACCCTACATTGTATTTTTAATTAATAACTTTTATTATATCACGACACTCACTCAGACTTTTTTTTGGCTTTCTAATGCATACCCTAAATTGTTTTCCTAATTTTTTTAAAAGATTTCATAAATCAACTCACAATCATAAAATTTGAAATTTGAAAAACAAATATTAATAAAATTTCGCTTCTAAATGTAAATTCAAATACAAACACTAAATCAACACAAAATTTAGTTTTTGTGTATGTAATCTATCACAAACTACAATATGTTTTTATTACATAAATATAAAACTATCACCAATATAGGAATGAATAGGATGCATTTTTATATCTAATTTTAAAGACAAAAGCATAAATAATGACAATGAAATATCAAGGGATAACTCCAAATTTCTCATCTAAAAATAATTAACTATTAGGATGTTAAAATTGGTAATCTTGATATAAATAAACCCGCAAATATGATAAACGAACATAACAGTTTTCTGTTGATAATGCAAAATTCCAACACTTAACAGATTCCTTTATTAAAAGTAAAATGTTACACTCGACTTGTATTTTCAAAATATAATGCTTTCACACAGTAAAATGCAAAGTGTAGGGTGTGGGTTTGCTTAATACGTCGTAATCATGAAAACAATCATTTTTTAAGAAGTTCAAAGTAGGTTGCTATAATATGAAGTAGGACGCTATAATTGAAACTTTATCAACTAAGAACCTCTTTCGAAAGAAAAAAAAAAAAAAAAAACTTCTAATAGTTATGCAGAAACAAAAGGCCATAAAAGAAAACACATCAATGAATGTTGCAAGTGGAATTAAGCATAACATAGCTTAGATTTATTCTCTTAAAAAAATCAAAAACAAAACTACATTGACTCTTAACTTTAACTCCACAACTTTAGTAGCAATCTTTTTAGGATCTTCTGGGGCACAAGCATCAACTCCAAAACTTTAGCAACACCAAAATAGTCTCCAACAGATTCCTACAGTAAAGACATCTAATTATTCTAGGTTTAAATATTAAAAAAAAATATTATAGCTAATTTAAGAAGAAAATCTTAATTTACGATGATAACACAACTGCTCAAATCTATTAAAAAACACATCCAAATACTCCACTGACGACCAATAATAATGAACCTGAAGTTAAAACATGTAATAAAAAGATACAACCAATTACAATGACCATTCCCCTGGCCCAAAACAAAAATGAATGGATAAAAGAGATTTAAGGGTAAAATCGTCCAATAGCAATATAATTCCCCAAAGGATACCATTCATATTGTAAGACAACTTACAATAGAAGATCATAATGATCAACGTCACATTCTCCAACACAAAACAAAGAATGAGGGATAACAAAGATCTTAAGGGCAATTTCATCCAAAATGAGTGATAATTATCCCTAGGGTACCAAACAAATCAATATTCCTGCTCCAGCAAGACACCAAAGTGCATAAGTTGATAAAAAACTTCAACACTAATAGCCCATAACAAAAAAAGGGAGTTTCTTCTGCATATTTTGACCTATTAAGAAAAACCAAAAGCCTAGAGATAAAAGTTGATTACTATTTAGGAATTGTGTACAATAAAAAAAGAGCTGACATCAATTGAACCAAAAAAAGAACATGCAAATATCAGATATTTTGTACAGTTAATAGGAAACACTTAACCGGAAACATAATATGAAAGGCATTAACTTGACTTTCTTGTTATATATTCCTAGTTGACCACATTCTAGATCCAAACCATAGACTCATGATTCATGTCAACTGTTATTGTATCAAAAAATATTATTCAACAAACCATGTTGTCGTCAAAAAAACTTATGTTGCCGTCATAAATTTGAAGAATATGCATTTTGTCAAAGACTTAAGTCACTGTAAGAAAACCAGTTGCACCTTATACTTATGTTGCTGTTAAAAAATCAATTACGCTCATGATTTTCCTATATGAACCATTTTAAATAGTACATCAAGCAAAAAAACAACCGGTGCAAACATCTAGTTAAAATACAAAAAAAAAATGTTGTATGGCCGATTTGAACCGCGAAACAGATTAAGTATAAATAGGAAAAACATAATTATAAACCAAGATGGGAATAAGTACAAAAAAATTCTAATAATATCTACAAATTTGTTAATAAATTGGTAGAAGAGCAGATCATTACATAAACATGCACAAACAAAGGGGCACTTGAGATATAGATCCGAAATTACCAATATTTCTTTGAGTGAATGACAGAAATAGGGCCTTATCCAAGAAACCATGTTGCTTAGCTTGTCCTTTGCTTTCTCTTGCTCCAGTTTTGCACTTGCCAACAAAACCGATAAGAATTACATCATTTATACCTCTACCCCAATATTAATACACAATAAGAAGAACAAATACATAAAACAAATAAACTAAGAAATAAGAGATGATATAGATTTTGTTTTATTATTATTTGAACCAGAAAATAGTATGCAAAAAGCTTTTCTGTCCATGGTTATAAACAAATTTTCTCTATCAATGGTTTCAAACAAAAACATCACAATTAGACAACCAAATTCCAGATGTGTATAACAACCAAAATTTTGAAGTACCAGTGAAGCTTTCGTACTCTAAAAAGGTTAAGTGATAAACCTGATCAAAGTTGAAAGTTCCACTGTGATACCCTCATAACCAGCCGGACCAATTTTATGACCAGCCTTTATGCTCAATTGATCAATATTTCAAAAAAAACAAACATACAGTTCATGATTGGTCCAATTTCAATATACCAAGATCAACTACTGTAAGCTATAATATTTAGTATTTGGTGTTGGTTATACCTTCAATATGAATGTTGTTAATTCCACATCTTGACAGATTCCTAAAATCAAGATCCAATGCACCTCAACAGTACGCATAAAAGCTAACCAGCAACTCCATTTTTACATGAGAAAATGATGTATTAAATAAAAAACTGTGAAATTGAAGCCTTGGCAAATAACTTCTGAACAGGGCTTCGTATTTAGCTAACTTTGACCTCTAGATATAATCTTATTGAAAATTTTGAAGACTACCATTCTGTTTATCAAAAACTCTAAACTTCATAAACAACAAACATAAATTGAAATTAAAAAAAACATTGTTATCTAACTTTTATTTATATTTACTTGAACGCGAGAGGAAGATCTGGTCATAGGTGAGTCGGCTGCAGAGTTTCCTGACCAGGTAAAGAGATCTGCCAACGAAGTTTCCTTGAGACATTTCATCCAACACCTGGGTTTACTTGTGATGTTTGTGATGCCAGAAAGTAGAAAACACAAAAAGAAATGCACAAGGTAGGAAAGAAGATTAGATTTTAATGCTTTTTGGGGGAAAACATGAAATCAACTCCAAAAAAACCTTACCTGCTCATTGATGCCTTTCTTAGTGGAGGTCTGATCATCATCTTCATTTGGTTTTACAGTCCAAATAAGGCCCTTGATTTTCATTTCCACGAATCATGGGTAGCAGCCATTTCTGACAAAAAAAAAAGCATTTTGATAATTAAATATTTGGAAGAAATATAAAGAGGGTAATCAGAAACACCTATGTGAAACTGAAACACATCCATTGTTTTATACATTTTGTAGCATTATGAAATGCATTTCCAACTGCAATAACTCTTCAAGCTTTAGCTAAAAGGATAAAAATGCATCAACGGAAAAACAAAAAGAAAGGGCACCTGAGAGAGATAGAGAGAGACAAATAACAACAGAAAAAACAAAAAGAAATTACACCTGAGAGAGATAGAGAGAGACAACGAAAGATCGTGGTGTGGTTCGTCTTCAGAATATATGTGTAAGGGCAGAGACTATGTGGAGACGGTTGGGGTTTCTTGTCATAATAGAAGGTAGAAGAGGGGCGAGAGAGGGGGTGGCGATGGCAGTGGCTAGATAGGGTTTCAAAAGTTGGATCTTCATTAGACACATGTGCGATTGGGGGTTTGACAAGAGAAACAGAGGTAAAGAAACGTAGAGTAGCAGAGCGTCGATCAGCCAGGTTAAAAGGAAGAGCATTTGAGTGAGCGAGGGTGGTGATACCAGAGGTCCACCGGAAACTGAAGCGAGTTAGAAGAGAGGCGATAGAGGGGGTGGGTTTGACGGTATCAGTTGTTGTGTCGATGAGGGCTAGGGTTTAGTGTTTCCAACATGTAGCGATACAGGTACACGCTTTCACTTTAAGCTTAATAAGATTGTAAATTATGTTGTAACAGATATATCTCTTAAATTTCAA